TAATAAAATACAATAGTATTGTGCAATCCGTATAGCTAATTTTACCTAGCAAGATATGTTGTTGATGACTACTGCAAAAGATCCTAAGACATCTTATATAATTTGATAAGATTACTTTCTTCTTATCTTGTGACTTCTTGTAAGGTTTACAATGAAAACCATTGAAGTGATTAAACTAATACCTAGTAGTTTATAATCACTTTGTCCACAATCTATAGGCTATAAAATTTTCTTGTGCTACAACTGTTGGTGCAATTTAAGGAAAAAATCATTGAATCAATGGGCTAAATACACAAAAGAAGGATGTAACATCTTAAAAGTTTAAGACTCAAATTTATTTAAAAAAATAAAATAAATATTTATAATTAAATTAAAATTAAGAATAATTTGATAGAGGTCCAGAGTTTGAATTTTTCAAAGCAAAAGTTAGGTTTTATTTTATTTTTAACTATGAAAAAAATTACTAAAGTTGACCTGGACTTTTGTGCTATAATAAAAAAATGTTGGACCCTTTTTTGTAATTTTTTCCAAAGTCTTATATCAGCTTTTTAAAGACCAAAATGGATGCAGAAATGAAATGGAGCAAAGAAAAAGGAAAGAAACGAATGGGAGAGATGAAGAAGAGAAGAGAAAGAGAGAAAGTTAGGCTTAAATCTAGAAGGCCTTGTGATCATTGCGAGATCGGTTACACGATAGGTAAACTCCCTACTTCAATCCTCTTCCCTTCCTCTTGATTTTCTTCAATTTTTGCAAGAAGAAATTTTTGAATTTTGATCCCAAAGGCTTTATTCTTGTAAGCTTTTATTTTTTTGGATCCTAGGGAGAATGTTTTGAATTTTTATATAGTGATCTAATGTTTTAAGTGAATAATTGGATGAAAAGAGGTGTTTTGGGCACAAATTAAATCCTGAGAGATTGAGTTTTACTCCACAATGGTTTAAGCCTATTGATTTAGTTATAATTTTGCTATTTGAGCCTAATAAAATTTAAATTAAGGTTTGGTTTTCATTATAAGGGCTAATGGTGAAAGTTGATGATACTAAGTAAAGGTTTATAATTGATTAAAAATTATATAAATTGGAAATTAGTCTAGTGATGGCTAATAAATGGTTTTGGTGGTTAAGTGATACTAAATGCTATAATCTTTATTAATAAATGCTATTTATCATGATAAGTGATGCGGATCACTTATGTGTTGTAGGAAATTATTGGTGGAACTTATTGAGAAGTTAAGGAACAAGCCAAGTCCTATTTTGTACAAGAAGAACCCTTTTGATACCAAAGGGTTGAGGTAACAGAGGAATTTATATTCTTATTACTTTGTTTTAGCTATTTTTGAATAAATATTACTAGCTATCATGCATTACATGTTTTAAAAGATTAAATATGCTTTATAAGGGGTTATGGGGACTACTTTGATTATAGTGCAAATATGTTTTCTAATTGTTTAACAATAATATTTTTATAAAAACGAGATTTATTTACATGTATTGTAATCATAAAGAATAGAAATTGCACTTAAGGAAGTGTAACTAAGTAAGGTACCTTAGATAGGCTAAGGAACCATTTAAGGGAGATTTATAAATGTTATACTACCTTAAAGTGTTAAAGTGGTCAATACTCGAGAAAGGTAAACACTAGTAAAAGGCATGATCTCGGTGGGAGTTCACCAATGAGAATGTGTGGACTTTTGATATTCTATGGCACACTGGCAGTACTCAGTATTGCCTTATGTATTGTGGGCTCAGTGCATTAAAGTAGTTAGTGTATTGAGTGTGCAACACCTCTCAGTGGAGGAGGGAATCCGATATATGAAGTGTGGGGTTAAGTGCCTAGGCCAAGGTAGCCCTCACATAGAAAGTAAGTCAGGCTGGCTCTATGAGGGAGTTAGCTTTGACTGCTCAGGATTCACGTCGAAAGGGCATAAGTGGTTTGGTAGATTAGATCATGCTTTAAATTATGTTTTGTGCCTGTGGAGATATAAGTGGATATAAGGTTTACCTGCGAGTTAAAGTGTGCCAGGGGGCATTCTGTTGGTCATGAAAGGCCATAACAGCCTATGTCATGCATTCATGCATTTTAAATGGTAAAATTATATACTATGTTGAATTTATTATTCGTTTATTCGATTATGACTTACTTTGTAATAATCAATGTAGATTTCTCTGTTACTGAAACTATAGTTGTCTCACCCCTTTCTTTTCAATATTTACAGGTTTAGGCGAAAGATCCAGTGGTGGACGGGGAAAAGAGCTAAGCTAGGGGTTTGCTTGGAATACCCCTTTCGTTTGAGCAAGTACATTGTAATGTATTAGAATTAAGGTGTCAGTAGGATGTGATTATGTATATGTGTGTTAGTATGTGTGGATTGTATAGCTTGTGGATGAATTTTGTTTGCTTATAGACTTATGGCTAGGAAACTTGGCTATGGTGTGTGATTTTGATGGATTTATTTAATAGACCAAGTTTCCACTACAAACAAATATTTATTTTGGTATACATGTGATTTCACAAGCAAATGCAAAGCAGTTACATTGCAAATAGTGTGCTATGGGCAAACATACACCTTAGATAGAGAGAGTGGGTGTGTGGACCCCACAAAAATCTCTAAGCTAAGTGAAAATTTTTAGCGTGTGTATTCATGTGTATATGTTGTGTGATTTGTGTATTTTGGGGGTTTATGGTCCATTTTTAGAAATGGCACCCGAGTAGTCAAATTTTGATATAAAGGATTTTCTATTATTTAAATGTTCTATCAGGTGTTTTTAGTCCTATTTGATGTGTCCAAAGTATTCCCACAGGTTTGTGACCATTGGAATGAGATTTAGATAATTTTGAAAATAGTTTTTACCAAAAAACTGTACTTTTACATCCGGGTATCTAAATCTTAATCCGACCGTTGGATTTCTCTAAAATTTGGGTCACAAGTAAAACCTTTTATAAGTTTCGCGTGGGCTTTGAAATCACATTGATCAGATACCAGATCGAGAAATGACATACTCTAAAATTTGGTCCTGAGGAGCTGTCATGACAACAAAAGTGCTGTCATGATAGCAAAAGTGCTGTCATGACAACAACAGTGATGATGTTACAACATGCATGAAATTCAATCTGTCCATTGAATATTTTCAAAATTTGGTATGCTAATATTACTATTTAAAAGTGACATGTGGGCTTTAGAATCGCTCTGATCGGAGGTCGGATGATGAAATGGTGCACCCCAAAAGTTAGTCCGGAGGTGTTGTCATGACAGCAAAAATGACCAAATTTTTAACATGTCTAATTTCTAATCTGACCGTTGGATCTTTTTGAAATTTGGTACACTTATAGCACCCTTTGAATATGACATGTGAGCTTTAAAACTACTTCAATCAGGAATTGGATGACAGAACGGGGCCTCCCGGGCTGTCATGATAGCAATTTAATGCTGTCATGACAACATCTTTTACCCCACTTTCATAGCTTGCTTCCGTGCGCTATAGGTAAAACTTATAAATTATTTTTTTAAAAAAAGATTTTAAATATTTATTTTGCAATCGTGTATCTACTTAGTGATTTAAATGGTTTGTTTCCCAAGTTGGTTTTAGGATTAACTCCTTAACTACACTTAGTTTATTTGAATTGTGTGATTTATGGATTAGACTCAGGGCAAGTGTTACAAAGAACATCAAAGTTGAAGTAAAAGCAACCTAAGTTCAAATGTGGAAACTGAATTACATATTGGATTGCCACAGAAGCATTTTTGATATATGACATATAGCTCAATAAGTTGGTCAATAAATTATTATATGGGTGGAGACCAACTCAGAAATTATGCTTCTTGATTCTTCTCTACATAAAATCATATTCTTATTCTAATTAATATATGTAGGCTTCATTTTTTTTCTATTTGAATGGAGCCTAAATAAAGGCATGTGTCTGTGTACACACACACACATGTATGTATGATGTAGGGATGAAAAGATGAGAAATAATGGTGTCCCTAATCTTGTGAATATATGTTTTGATCCAATTAGTGACTATTGTTCCTTTGTTCTTTTTATCTCAATTTGTTGAAACAAGAACGTGAGTTTTATGTTACACAAAGTCTGAGATGATCTATATTATTTATAGGTTATGAATAGTTTAACTATTGGGTTTTCTATCTTTAATGGATATCCACATTATGGAATGAGACCTTATTAGGATATTAAGAAAGTTTGGGCCCTTATGTACAATAAAAACTATAGGCCTTTGAAAGTAATATTCCCTTTCTCATTTTTTTATGGGAGTGACTTGTGTACTTAGGTGGGAGTTAAAATGCATGAGGCATATGGTTAAACGTTCATTCTCTCTAAAGCTAGAACTAGAAAACCATCCTCCTTTTTTTCCTTCTCTCTCGTGCGTTTAGTGTGAACTAAGAACTAAGTTGGAGTGACTCATTCATCTGCATAGAGATTGAAATAGTACAATAAAATAGGTATGTTTCTTCCAAAACTCACTATCTAAATAAAGTATATTATATTATATATAGATACATAGACATTGACTAGCTGAAGAAACACCATGTGATAGAAAAAAATTTTTGGTCATGTCTAATGTATATCTTTATTATTTCATTATAGTATTTGGCCTATAGATTTACTTTATAGAATAATTGTGGGGAAAGTTCATTGTTTATCTTCCTCCTTATTTTTAAAAGCTTCTATTTCTTCCATTTGTAGAATGCATGAACAACTATTGGATGTTCTATTTCTTCAATAACTGATTAACTACAATATATCTAACGAAGCAATAATAACTAAGCAAAACTGCTTGGGTAATATAGTAATACTTGAATTTATTGCATATGAAGATTGTTAATGGATGATTTTGGATACTGATTTAATGTGATACTACTATTCATGTTTGGCATAACTTAGATAATGCATACAGAATTGATAAATTGCATAAATAATAGATTGAGAACTGGAAAGAACATAACTAGCCCAATTTATGAATATATCTAAATAGGTGGAACAAGAAATATGCTTGATGACATTATACATGTTTATAAAACGTAAAAATATGATACATGAATACAAATATAATTAGTCTGAAACTCAAGTAGATCAATATGACATCCTCACTGCTTCAAATATATATATAAATCAGGGAAGAATTGGGCCCATAAAAATTTCCTCACCAACTCCTATTAGAAATATCATTAAAAACATTAGAGTTTGAAGCTAATCACAATCCAATCCACACTCCTCCAAGATTGGACCATTGAATTTGGGTGAAAAAGGGTCAATTTTCACCCACAAAACAGAAAAGAAAGAAGCAAGCAAAACAGACCAAACAAGAACAATGGTGGGAGTCCTATTTTGTCTATCTAGCATACCCTTAAGGAAAGGGTATAAATGACAAATCACTGAAAAGGCAAAGAATAGTTTTCCTAACAAAGGACCCCAAGATTCAAAACCAGTATTAATTGCATGTGACACGCCTGCAACAATGGCAATGAGGTTCAAAATTAACAATGTCGTTGGTATAATGAGCAAAGTGGTCCAATTCAATGCAAATAGCCTAGAGAAGTCATTTTCTTCATCATCATCATCATGATCACTTGCTTTTGATTTCACAATGAACTTTGCATCTATACCAGCTATCACCTTGAATAGTCCTAAAAATATTGCAAATAAATTTGCTGATACTCCTTCTATCACCCAAAATTGTTCATTTCTCCACCACTCATCAATTGTCACTCCACTCCATCTCATCTCTAGTATGCTTGTTGCAAAGATGCATATGAAAAGTGAGAGAAACCACATGCCATCAAAGTTATTAAGCTGCAACATGAAAAGAAAAAAAAATTATATTGATAAGCATAAATATGCATATAATGTTTTACGAAACATTATGGTAACATCGAGACATTTGTTAGTTTCTTCATACCTGAGGAACAATAAATTTTCCTATGAGCAAGCAAACTGCTGGAAGAGTGCAATATGCAATAAGAGGAATAGATGTCCATGGATAAATAGTAGCATTTATGTAAGAAAGGCGTTCAAGCCACTTCAATCCTCCTTTATAGCCATACCATATAGGGCAATGTTTGCTCAAGAATATCTCAGTAGATCCTAGTGCACACTTAAATACTTGAATTAGACCATCTGAAAGGTTTATTGGTGGAGAAACTTTGAATGCAGGCCTTTCAGGGATACAATATATGGATCTCCACCCATGACAGTGCATTTTAAACCCTGTCAGTATATCCTCTGTAGTTGAACCATAGATCCATCCAACCTAAGGGAATAACAACAATAAAAGATTTTATGTATGTCAAGCTTGATCTTGTAAAATTCGTGAGAGTTCCAAAACTTTTGCTCTAACTTTCAACTATTTCTAAACACCTCTCATAAACATTGTCTCCTTAAACTTTCATATTTCAGCATGTATACCTTTATGTGGTAATATCTAATTTTAAAGTAGACAAATTATATGCAACTGACTTGGGCTTTGTTTAGAATGGGAAGAAAATAGAAAGGAGGGAAAATTAGGCCAAAAACTAGAGACAAAAAGACATTTTTGCCCTTATTCTCCACTAATTTCCCATTAGAAAGGAGAGAAAACTAAAAGATTCTCTCCTCTATATTTTCTTCGCATCCCAAATGAAGGGTTAAAGTTGAGGAGATTCATTTGCATAATTTTCCACGTGAAGCCTTAAAAATAGAACATAGTACTCAAGACATAATTTTACCTCTTTTCCCCATTCAGTCTTCTCCTCATAGCCACAGCTAATGACATGGATGGCTTCCTTAAGTAGAGAAGCAAGGCTAGCACCTTTTGTTGTCTCACCATTCTCTAGAAGAGTAGATGCAATAAATATTGGAGATTGCCCAAATTTTTTCCACAACTTTGGCTCAAACGTTTCACCTAAAACTTGTCTTGGAACTCCTACATAAATGGAATTTTATAGTTTTTTACATAAGAAGGGAAAAGAAGAGCAACATGTAGATGCAACTTTATTTATAAGGACCTAATTCTAATTTTTAAAGTAAATTGATATTATGGTGAAAATAAGTAAGTTGATATTAAGAAGCAGAATGATTTTCATTGGTTTTAACCTTATAATAATAAAAATTATTAGCAACAATGTATTAGAAGAACGAAATGTGTTTAAGGTACCTTTGGTTCCGTGTTCAATATAGGTCAAAGCATGGTTTGCCATAGATATCTCTGCATGCACTTTTGTGTTGCTACTATCTGTAAAGTCAAACTTTGAATTCTTTGACTTTTTCTTCTTTCTTAAGCAACAACATAAACAACACCACTTTGGCCAACAATTGCATGTCTTAGCTGGTGTCTTCTTTGTTCTTGGAGCATCATAGCCATATAGTGTTTGCCTTTTAAACATACATCTTGCCCCAACATATATAGGTCCTTGAATCCCATCCAAGCCTTTCATGTTAATCTAATATCAAATCATGAGAAGGCCATACTAGAATTGAATTAAAGCCAGAAGTTTGTAGTAATTAAATCAAGTAGCTAATGAGAATGTGAGAAAATTTTGCTCTTACATCATGGAATGAAGTACTTTGAGTGTTGCATCTGTCATTATTATCAGCACCATCAAACCTATAAGAGAATTGAACATAGCATATTCTTTTGCCTTGTAAGGGGTCCATCATGAAGCACATTGCTTCCCTGAGAGTTTTGTTATTGTTGATGTAATGATCATAGTCCAAGTTTAACAAATAAGGAGCATTTGAAAGCACAGCAGAAACTCTGACCTATTTTGCATGGAAATCAACAATGAAATGTATTAGAAAATGCAAGAATAAGTGTTGTTTCTAGCAACTTGTCTCACTCAACCTTTTAATGATATATATGGATTTATTGAGATTTGGATTTAGACTTGGACTAGACCCCTCATTTGAATGCACAAAATTTATATTCGATTTAAATCAAATTTATATCCATTTTTTATTATAATTCATTTGTAATTTCAATTTCCTTGTATATTCTAATCATTTAAAATTAGTTATTTCAAACCCATTATTTTCTTTGCTTTTTTACTATTGATACCTTTATGATTCTTGTATCTTTTTTCATCTCTAGTTTTTCTCTCTTATAGATTGAAAAATAGAGGTGAACTTATCATTGTCAATTTTCTATTTTCATTTTAAATCTCAACTTATCTCTTTTCTTCATTTAAAAATTTTAAACTATCCAAATAAAATATTCTAAATAATGAATTTTAAATATAAGGCTTGAAATGCATTATTACCCCAAGATTGATTTAAAATTCAGATTGAAATTCAAATATGCCAATCCAAACACTGCATAAATGATTTTGAATTATGACCCAAAGATTGATTTGATTTACATTATGCATTACTTACCAATGCATTCAATGCTCCTGCTTTCTTATGGTGTTTGAATTTAGGTCTCTTTTCCCTAGAAACATACACCAAGCGTGGCAATTCATTTCCATCCATGTCACGTCGTCCATTTTGTCCAAGAAAAACCTGGTGAGACAATATATATATATATATATATATATATATAAGAATGAATTATAGTGATAATACAACCAAGGAATATAAAATACGAAAATTATTATGACAAGATAAGAAATGAATGCTTCTATAGTTCTTTAATTATTAACAAACCTGGATCATCCCAGGGTGGTCACCGACATTATTTCCAGGCCATATTGTTCCATCTTGCATTGTCCATCCATTTTCAGGGACCTTTCTAGCTTTTGCAACCAAAGAATTAATTCGAACTCTAAACTCTTCGTACTCTCTCTGTAAAATTAATAACAAATAGAAGTATATAACATGACCATATAAGGCTTGAAGAGTATCAATGGAGAGAGATTTGATTTTCATTTTCAAAAGGATCTTGTTTAATTAATTGTATTTTGCATGTAAATGATTTTCAAAACTGTTCTTTTTTTAATTTTTTTTAGAAATGAGAAAATGAAAACATTATATAATTCTTTTCATTTTTTTATTTTGAAAACACAACATTTAGTCACTATAAGTTAATGGCATCAATCCCCTTACTGTAGGCTACCTTAGTTGGCAATCATTGTCAACTATGACAAATCACCATCATGCGTCAATTTTTAAACTTTAAATTTTTTTTCAAACTGACATAATTAAATAATTTTTCTTTTTTATTTTGGAAAACAATTTTTAAGAAATTAGTCTTAAAATACTATCTCTTAAGGGTGTTCAAAACCGATCCAAACCGAAAGGACCGATCCAAACCAATCCAAACCGACAAAAACCGATCAAAACCGAACAACAATTAGGTCCGCTTCGGTTTTTATGATATAAAAACCGATTGATTCGGTTCAAGTTCGGTTTTGAGTACAAGAAACCGAACCAAACTTGATTAAAAAAATTCTATTTATTTATTTGTAAAATATATAACCATTTATTTACAAGAAGCATTTTGTTTTGAATTTTTTATAGTAATAAATAAACATTTTTAAAATACTTGAATGAAAATGCATAATATTAAGTGATTATAATAATCATACTATGATCATCATTTAATTATTTACAACCTAAAAGCTTCAGCATTCAATTTATCTACAAGAAACATTTTGTTTTGAATTTTGTATGATAAGTTTTTCATTATTTATTAAAATATAGATACATAGATAAACATTTTCAAAGGATTTTAACGAAAATACATAATATTAAATAATTTTAATCTTAAAAACTTATATCAATTTTTATGATTAATTATTGTTATCACATTGAAATTTTATTATATTTTTATACCTCTATTTATGAAAAAAAGGAGTCAAAAAGAATTAAATTTCATTTTAGTACATAGCACCATTATGAAGATGGAGAAAAGGAAAAAAAATTAAACAAGTCCATTAAAACTTGATCAAGACCTTAACCAAACCGAACCAAACCGAAAATAAAACTAAACCAAACCGAACTTCATAAAAACCGATCAGGTCTCAATTATCAGTAAACCGAATGGTTCGGTTCGGTTTGGTTTTTGCCCAAAACCAAACCAAACCGAACCTTTGAACACCCCTGCTATCTCTGTGCTAATTATAAAATATTTTTAGATAAAATTACATGTATCAATAAAGTTTATTGAATACACTTTACTATTTTATTTTTTAAAAAAAAACATAACTATACATATTTTAAAATATTCTTTATTTAATATAAAATTATTTTTTTGAAACATTAAATGGAGGGAGAATATAATAAAGGGTAATATATTAGAATAAGTATAATTAGTAAAATTTTATTTTTATGAAAATATCTTATATTTTGTAACACTAAATGACCTCCAAATGGATTTTGTAATTTGGGACGAGAGAATAATTTTTAATAACGAGAAATAGAAACAAAATCAAACAAGTCCTGAGATTTTAACCATACCTTCATAGCTCTCCTCTCTTTAACAAACGATGGATGTGCCTTGTCTTTCAAGTAATTGATCTTCTCTGCAAAGTACCACTCGGGAGCCCTAGGCTCAATATTGAATTTCTTACAAAAGGGAACCCATTTTCTTCCAAATTCACAAGTTTCAGATAAGGCCTCGAATGTCAACATGGAAGCACCATCATCTGACACGTAGCAAGTGAGCTTCTGAGGAGGGTAATCCACCGCGAGAACGGACAGAACAGTGTTTGCAGTCACCAGAGGTGGTTCTTTCGATGGGTCCCAAGTGGTCACAAATATATCAATTGCACAAAGTTCTGAAGGCTGCCCATCTTTCTCAAACCTATAATAGCCAAAAAAAAAAAAAGAGTATGGTTTGCTTATAAGTGAGGGTGTTAATGGGCCATGTTATGTTTAGTAATGGATATAAATATAATTGATCCATTTTAATGAGTTTAAACTTAGACCCCGTGTGTGTGTCTCACTTTTCATTTTCAATCGATGAAATTTATTTCTTAAAAGTTATGATATACTTCTTACATGAACAAAAATGCCCTTATAAAAAACGGCGAAAGAAATTAAGGCGTTGTTTGTTTAAAATTAAAAGATAAGTAATCTTAAAATTATTTGAAGGTTTTATTAAAATAATTTGATTTTGTAAAGATTTTATAAAAAGTAGACATTAATTTTATGCTTGTTGACAATAAAAAAAATTTATTATTATTTAGTTATTTTTTAATTTTATCATATATTCATGGATTTTTATTTATAAAAAGGATTTATATTTTAATTTCTTTAAATTATTATGACACACACACACACATATCTCCTTATTTTTATTTTCTGAATTTATTCAAATTAGATTTTAGAGATAATTCAAATTTTTTTTTTTAATTTTTCAAAAATTTAAACAAACATCATAAAATTTTATAGAATAATTTTTAAAAAAAGATAAGTTATTTTTTATGAAAAAAAGCTTAAGCAAACAGGTCATGAGTCAATATTAATTTTTAAAATGTTTGAAGTTGTAGATAGTATTACATGTATTTGTACAAGTTGCGGAGAAATTTATTTCCCAAGTTTAAAATAATTGCGGAAAAACCAATATGGCCAAATATGGGCCTTCAAATAACTGAAGTTCAAAAGTGAGTAAAAAGATTCCGCCCAAACAAACTGGGCCAGAAAAAGACACAAAAGATAAATTGTGGAATCAGAAATTGACGAAAATATGTTCAACCCAACCAGCAGCCCCATTCAAATACTACAAAATAATATATTCATATTGTGTGTGTGAGAGAGAGAGAGAGAGTGAGAGAGAGAGAGAGATAGGAAACATCGCACGCAAGAACCAATAAAAAATGCTATTTGTAGACAAGGACTAATAAAAAAATTTATTATTATTAAAATAAATAAGAATTTTCAAACGGTGGTTACAGGATCTTGTTTGCAAATAACATTTTCCAATAGTCCTTGTGTTCAAATTTTCCAAAAACTATATAAAATATTCAAATTTAAGTTGGGTTAATATTTAATTTATACCTTAAATTATAGGTTTAGGAATGATTTAAATTCTAAATTATTATTTGATAAAAAATGAGGCTGAATATACATTTTTTCTCAAAGGAATAAGAGAGAAAGAGAGTGAAATTTGTAAAACTTATACATTATGTTTCATTTTTAAAAAAATAACATACATTTATTTTAGTTTAACGGTGGAGGCAAAATTACATCAATTTTAATTGTTTAAAATTTTAAATATACTAAATAAAAATGTAAAGTTCAAATCGTCTCTTAACTTATAGTTTAAAATTCAAATTATATATTAACTCATTCAAATAAGATTAAAACAAACAAACAAGCAAACAAAGAACAATAAATAAAATAGATGCAAGGGAGAATATACTTGCCTTAAGGAGAGCCTATCCAGATAGGTTTTTCTCTGAACAGGGAACCACTTTGGGAACTGATGGAGAATCCATGAAAGAGCGAACCAATGCTCACACACAACAGCTACGAGCCACAAAGAATAAGCATCGTCCACCGGATGCGTCACTCTATAGTGGAAAAAGAACCCAAGAATCACCACTCGAATTATTATCATTATTCTGTATGGGTTTATTTTGCTTGATGGGATCTTCATCTTTCTCCACAATGCTTGTCTTGCCTCGTCCATTCTGTTTCAACAATACACACGTACAAGTATAAAGCCAAGTTTTTTTTTTGGAGAAATATAATGTATTTATTTTGGTGAATTTCTCATCTCTCGTCAGAATTAACGGCAATAATTTCTAGAAAATATATGAGATATTTTTTCTTTCTTTTTACCTACAAGTTTTTCACAAAATAATCTTTCCAATTAATACAAACTTGATTTTTAGAAGGTTAAATGATAATTAATCATGGCCTTAAACTATATAAGTCTACGAGCATCTATAACTCTAAACTCATTGCTATGTCACCTCTACTATTAACAAATATTAATTTTGACCATTGATTAATAAAAAATTATAAAAAATAATATTAAAAATTACAGAAAAAGAAAAAAATTATAGATTTTATATAGGTACTTATTTGTGATTTGTCGGTCATTTTTTATAATTTTATAATCATTCAAGAATTAAAATTAATTTTTGTTAATAGTAAAGGTAAAAATATACCATTTTTAAATCTTGATTATCAAAAACATTGTAAAACAAAACAAAAAAAAATGAGTTTCAGATCTTTAACCCTCTTTTTTAATAATCAAATTGAATTACACTCAAACTTCAAAAAAAAAAATCAAATTGATGACACCAAATAAATCTCTGCAGGATGATCAAAATATCAATAATAATTGTGTATAAGGAATTAACTATGGTGTTTGAATCAATCAAATAAAAAACATAATTAATTAATACCCCATAATTGAACAATACTTACAGTAGGAGATCTGAGGAGTCACCATCTGCAAAATTTTGTTGATGCTGTTCATGAGTGCTATTATTTTCAGTACTTCTCATTAGACGAAGATTTTCTTGTCTTTCCTTCCAAATTTCCATTCTCTCCTTCCACGCAACACTTCCATAGCCATAAGCAGCCAAGTCCTTGGAAGGATCCATAGGTCTTGCTTTTATTAAAATTACCTTATTGCCCTTGCTTGATGCCACTATTGCATTACTTTGCCCTTCTCCCACTTCATGATCATGTTCAACCTGTGTTACATGCATATCATGTGAAGGGACTAGAATTAAATAAATTAATAATAAGTTTTTTTTTTCCTGATGTTATCCCCACCTTGTTTCCAAAATTTCTCATTCATTCATTAACAAAACCAATCTAAAGATTATTTATCCACACAAAAATTAATTTTTTTTTTCAAGCAGCAATACTGCAAAGTCGTGCGTGTTGGTAATAATAATGAATCTTGTATTAAAAAAAATATGTTCTTTTCTTTTTTTAATTGTAATTGATACATTTGTTATTTTTTTAAAAAAAATATGAATCTAAATAAAAAAAAATATGAATCTAAATAAATAAGATATAATGTACTGTGCCAATATGTAATGTTTTGAGATATTCTAAGGACCGGTTTGGTAAGGGGAAATGATATGGAAAAAAAATGGAATAAAAAATAAAAATAATGTAATTTTTAATCCCTCAAATTTGTCTTAGTTATTAATTTGGTCATTCAAGCTTAATTTTTATCAATTTAGTTCTATAAATTTAACTCGGTTACCAATTGATGATATGGATAAATATAATATTAATGACAGTCACATAAATTAATAAAAAGAATTGTAATTATTTAGTTAAAGAAACAAATCCTAGAATTTTTAAAAGCAAAAAACTTATATACTTAACCTTATATACTTAAGGTGCTTATATTTAATTAAATCAAGACATGTGAATTTTTTATAAATTATTTATTCTATAATAAATTATTGTTATTAATTAAACTAATATACTATGATTCACATATCATGATTTGATTAGATATAAGTATATTACATAAATAATGCTAAGTATATATTCCCTCCGTTAAAAAATGTAAGGCATTTTTAACCGAACCTTATCCCCCAATAAAGTGATTATTTATTTTCAAACCAACCTTATCTTTTCATATTTACCTTTATTAAATATCTCATAATAAATATAAAATCACTATTAATAAAGACACTTTAAAAAAAAAGCAATTATTACACGTTGAAAGACTAAAAATATTTTATATTTTTGAACATACAATTCTTTAAAAAGTGCTTTATATTTTTTAACGAAAGGAGTAAGTCTTTCCCTTTTTAAAAACAGGAAAGCCACATACAATGAAATTAAAAGAATTGCATTGATAACAATTACACTTATTTGAGAGTTAATTTGTTCTTATTTAACTACATATGCATATTAAATCATCAATACACTTTACCTGTTATGTTATTTTAAGAGTTAATTTATGTTTTAAAACTTAAAGGGCTCATTAAATAATTTAAGAAAATATAAGAGACTAAATTGATAAAAATTAAATTTAAGGGACCAAATTGATAACTAAGACAAATTTAAAAGATTAAAAGTTTTATTATTTCAAAAAATAATAGTAAAAATGAATTAAACCACCCTCTTACTTATGATAAGGATGACAAAATCTAATACCACAAACTATAAATATAAAAACCATCACACCTTCTACAAATATCATAAATTGTATTCCCAATCTCATAACTTAAATTAACATTTCTTTTTAGAAAAATGATTGACTTATAACTTCTCAACATCTTGATTAGTCTATGTTTTATTTTTTTTATTTTTTAATTCATTCAGTTCCTTTTTAGTAAGGGGAAATGTCTAAGACTGTACGATTAGATATAATAACATGGTAACTTTTGGCAATTAAAGTCACTTTTTAAAGGGAGAAGCCAAAAACAAATCAAGCATTACCTTCGAATAAGTGCAGATCTGCATGTCCTGTTGTCCTGTTCCTCCATTGAAATCAAACTCATTCTCCAAGTCATCAATGTCGTCCTCGTCCTCATCTCCTTCAACTCTAGCACTCCCTGGTACATATATATGTGTGAAACAATGTCATCACACGAACAAAACTTCACATAGTATACATAAAAGCATTCAGTTCAGTATGATTTAAATTTACAGGTGCTAGCGTCACTACTAAAAGTAAAAATTAACATTTTTCTTATCAAAATTTCTCTCGAGGTCAAAGTCTAGAGAAATTCTCATATAACTTCTCAAATACATCATTTGTGTGAGAATGCCATTCCTAAGTTTTGTTGTTTTCTTGTAAAGTATCACAATTTTTTTTTAAAAAAAAAGTGCTAATAATTAGTAATTATTTTGCAGGACTTGAACAATAAATTACATTTTTTTATTACTGTCACCTTTATCACGTTATTCTAACCATGATTTACAGTAACCATTTGTAGAACATATAGTTAGTTAAAACACGTCCCCTTAATTATATTAAGTATGATTAAAATAGAAAAATACTATAATTAATCCCACAAAAAAGAAAAAGAAGAAAGGGAGAATTACAACCATGTCCAACATAAAAAAATTAATTATTATAAGGTTCATTAACAATTAAACTAAATTGTATTGATAAGTGGTCATGTTATCAATACAATTTAGTTCAATTGTTAATAGATCTTATAATAATTAATTTTTTTGTGTGAAATTTCAATGTAATTCTCTCAAGAAAAAAAATCAAACGTTAATTAAAATATTTTTTAAAAAAATGATAAAAAGTCTATTGATAATTAATCCTCTGAAATTAAAATTCATGATTTTTTGTGAAATTTTCTTTGTTAATATATAGACCGTTTTATTAGTTTTTTTATAAATATAATTTTTTCCCTCTTTAATTGAAAAAAAAAACAGAAAAAGTTTCAAGAAAATTCATAAATCTTCAGCTTCAGACTACCAAGATCCTCTCCACTGCTATTTAATAAAAGAAGAATCATCATCACTAGCTAGATTAATTAAACAAGTAATATTTTCCATATGATTTTTTTATTATTTTTTCAAACAGTTATTTATTATATTTAAAACAAAAGGAAGATCAAGTAGAGATGGAAACTTAAATTAAATGAGTAGGTACCCTTGTGACGTGGATATCTGGTTTTGCACTGAGGACAGACATGGCTTCCTTCTCTTCTCTCATACTCATAACAATTCCTACAAACTGGGAAGCCACACTCATTGCATGCCACAAACTCTTCTCCTTCTTCGTCTTTTCCTATCTCTTCTCCACATATTTTGCATTCCTTTCCTCTTTCCTCTTCCTCCCAAACTCTTCTCTGCACCAACCATGCATACATACATATATAAATATATATATATATTATATCACAAACATTTATGAAATTGGAAATGCTTACAGAAAAATTAGCATCTGGGTTGATGATGATGAACTGGTTGCTGTTGTGAGAGCCTGCAACTAATCCTGTTTTGACATCCATTTTACTCATGTTGCTATGGGCTTTAATTTTCCTCTGTTCACTTGCTTATACATATGAATATGAGAGAGACCATTTAATTAATATTCTCTTGCCTTACAGTTCAAGGAAGATGGATGGAGATAGATTATATATATATATATATATCCATGTTTGCTTGGCCAAGAAAGGTACAATTGTTTCCCTTTACCCTAAAAGAATGCTCTTTAATTATTATATTCTTTCCCGTCTCTTTCTCCGCCTCATGTTTTGGTCCTTTTTGTGTTTTTATTCCTTTTGTAATTTCTACGCTCTTTTGCAACTCCGCCATCTACAAAGTGTTCATCGCCTCAAACAAGAAAACCAAATGATTAGTGTCACTTATCTATTATTAAAAAAATGGGGGGTTAATGGGTAATTTAGTCTCTAAATTATAGGTCAAAAAACGTGTGAAATTTTAAATTTGTTTTTGTTATAATGTTACCTTTCAACATTTGAAAAGATGCAATGCAATACTTACTATTAACAAAAGTTACTTTTGACAATTAAAAAATGATGAAAAATTATAAAAAAAATCTAAAAATTATAAATAAGAATTCCAAAAAATACAGAAAAGGACCAACAGTATTTTGTCCTTTTCTACAATTTTTGATTTCTTTTTTTATTATTTTTTAATCAACTAATGATCAAAATTAATCTTTGTTAATGGTATGAATAACAATGCATTGTTTTCAAAAAGCTGAAGGAAAATATTGCATAAAAAATGAGTTTATATTTTAGATGGTCTTAGACCTATAATTTAGGAATTAAATTACTATTTAACTTTTAAAAAGCTCATTACATAAAAGTGGGAAAAGAAACAAATATAGTAAACATAAAAATTATAGAAAATAAGGACTAAAATGTGCAACTTGAGAATGGTGATGAACCAGGGGTTTATTCAACGGAGTCATAGAAATATAAATACAACACCATATTATAAGACAATTACAAATTATTTTTTATACAATAAATTAAAACTGGAAACTTGAAGTCTTGAAAAAATGATTGACGATATGTTTGGATAAGATACAAATTGAGGTTTTGGAGTCCTAACATCAGTTTGGATCTTAAAAGTTCATTGAAAAATTTGTAAGGATGCTTGTATAAAAAAATTTCAGGTGAGTGTTGGGTTAGAAGTCCATGAAATTTGAAGCTAAAAAAAATGAGCTCTTAGCCTCACTTGGTGTCCAAACTAATTTTTTTTAGAAAAAATACCAAAACATAAAATTAAGTTATAGTTATTGACTTTTTTACCAATTTTAATTTACTAATTTCAATTTAGGGAAAATGTGTAAGGTCTCGTATAGCAAACTTATTTATAAATAAATTTTATAAAATTTAAAAACCATAGCCTTATCTTTTGGGATCTAAATGTAATTTAAAATTAGGCTATAAAGACAATGATGACCTTATTAAAAATACACTACATCATTCAAGTAATTCACAACTACTTCATTAGTAATTTATAATTATCAATTTAACTTTTTACTATTATAACTTCACATATTTAAATATAGTTAAACTTATTATATATTATAAGTTTAATACTAATTATATACAATTACTTCATCATTAACTTACAACTATTACTTTAACGTTTTATAACTATAAATTTACATATCTAATAATTAAATTAATCATGCATTCTTGATAAAATTTAACATTAATTATTTATAAATACCTCATTAGTAATTTAAAATTATCACTTCAATGTTTTACAACTGTGACTTCGCATATGTAATGGCAAAATCAATCTATGTTTTCAGCTTTAAAACATTAACTTCACATATCTAATAAGTAAAGGCAATATTATCTTTGCACTTTAATTTTAAATTATACTCAAGTCTCAAGGGATTTAACTTTATTTTTTAAATTTTGTAAAACTTATTTATAAATAAATATATCCCATGGAATGTTTACATAATTTTCCCTTCAATTTATTCTAACTTTAATTTCCTTGGTGGTCTAGTATTGAAGCCTTCAATTTGTCTCTTGATGGATTTGCAAAGAGAGAATCACATCCAGTCTCTCTCAAAGAAATTAATCATACATAAAAATTAATATAAAATAAATTATTATTAAAATGCAAAACATGAATTATTATTATTTTTCAAATGGGACTTATTATTAATTTTTATCTATGATTAATTTTTTCAAGAGAAGCTGAATGTAATTCTCCTATTTGCAAATTGCAATTGCTCCTCTCTCCTCACGACACAAGAAGAGCTTTTTGTCTGTTTCAAATTCGCTCTCTCTTTCCTCCTTTTTCATTTCTTGCTTCAGTTGCATCGAATCCATCTTCTAAGCTTCACTCTTCAATTTTCATACTTTCTTCTTGGGATGCCGCAGCTGCGGTGAAATTCTTCTTTTCTTTTCTATTTTTAAGGGATTATTAAGTAGTACTTTTATGAAATTAATAACATTGTTATAAAGGGATAGTAAGATCGTAGGTTAAAATTTACTGGGTTTTGTGGACTTATATTAAAAGTTAGACTAAAGTGAATTTAAAGTTGATTAAAATATCAAAATGAGGGTCAGAGATTGCTTGCCCCATAGTACTTTCCCCTTCCTTTTAAAAATCATTAAATTTTTTTAATAAAAATTGATAAAATTGGTTTTGTCCCTATATTTTATGTTATTTGAACTTTTGTCCCCACGTATTTCATCCACGATTCTGGACCCATCCGGGGAGGGTGCAAAATATAAAAATTTATAATCCTAAATGTGTAATTTTCTCTATGACATTCTCGCTTCCACGTGTCTCTGCCAGTATTTCTAATCGTCCCTTTACTAATTATATCTCACACTTGCATGCGGTCTTACTGATATGAGAGTGAGCGACAAGTGTTAGCTTTTGTTTCCCATTTAGTATTTCTCTTGCCTTTCACCTCAAGAAAGATGGATGTAGATTATCCCTCTTTGCTTCATCAAGAAAAGTGCAATGATTCCTCTTTCGCATTGGAAAAAAGAAGGGAAAAAAATGACGATAAAAACTTGTCGAATTACATAAATAATAAGATGATTTTTTAAAATAGTATAATTTTATTAAAAAATTTAAAGATTTTTGTGTCAAGAAATTTTAAATTAAAAGAAATCATTTTATTATTATTGATAAATTATATTTTTTTATTTAATTTTTACTATTATTTGAATAAAAGTTATTATACTTTAAACAAAACTTATGATTAGGGTTTGTTATTTTAAAAATTTATTTTTTATCAATAAAAATTACACTTAATAAGTTATTATTTCTTGTTTAATTTTATGACTCACAAAACGAAAGTTATTATTTTTTAAGTAAAAGTTGTGATTGAGGTTTATTTTTTAATAATAAAAATTACATTTAACAAGTTACGATTTCTTGTTCAATTTTTATGATTCACAAAATAAAAGATATTATTCTTTAAATAAAAGTTATGACTGAAATTTGTTATTTTTAATAAAAGTAAAATAATATTTTTATTTTAAAATTTATTGACATAGAAGTTTTTAAAAACTTTAGTAAAATTATAATATTTAAAAATTAAATTATTATTTATATAATTTAAAAAATTTTATTATATTTTAAAAAACAGAAGCTCCAACTCAACAACTTTATTAATTATTTTTTCCTTCTTTCCCGTCTTTTTTCTCCACCTGGCGTTCCCCCCCCCCCCTGTGTGCCTTTATTCGTTTTGTAATTTCTATTTTGTCCTAAGAATTGGATGACAACACCTTTAAGAACAAATTAAAAAAGAAGATAAAACACGTTTAAGAAAACAAAGCGACCATGATTATAATTTAAAATAGTAAGAGTATCAGTTTTAAATTGTAAATTTCGGTCCCTAGGCATTATTTTCTCACAAGGAAATCTTAAAAACAATAAATTAAATATCTAAATTAAAAAACTTTCCACGACTTCTTGCTACGTGTGTAACTTTTATATGATCAAGTTGACATATAGAGATTAATTATAGCATAAGTCACGTTATTGTGAGACCACTTCAATTCGTTTTGCTTGGGAGCTAAAAAAGATCATTTGATTAGAACCCGTTGCAAAGCAAATGCATACTTATGTTAATCTTTTGTGCTTTCACTAACTTGATAACTGGAATGCAAAAATCATCACTCATAATTGTGGAGCCACAATGAAGATCTCAATTTGTCGGTTCACGATATGAATGATTCAATTTTGTTTCTGGATTAGGGTTTTTGGAAACTAATGTAGACCAGATAAAAAACAAATAAATTTGTAAATGAAACAATAATAGTTTATAAAATGAAGGATGCAGCTGTTAATTGTGCCCTTTGTCACAACAATTTATTTTGCAATCGTTTCTTCTCTTTAAATTTTGGAATACATTAAGTTTGTTAGAAATAATATAATTTTGTAATTCCTATTTTTCCCTAAGAATTGGATGATAACACCCTTAAGAACAAATTAAAAAACAAGATAAAACACCTTTGAGAAAACAAAGCGACCATGATTATAATTTAAAATAGTAAGAGTATCAGTTTTTAATTGTAAATTTCGGTCCCTAGGCATTATTTTCTCACAAGGAAATCTTAAAAACAATAAATTAAATATCTAAATTAAAAAACTTTCCACGACTTCTTGCTACGTGTGTAACTTTTATATGATCAAGTTGACATATAGGGATTAATTATAGCATAAGTCACGTTATTGCGAGACCACTTCAATTCATTTTGCTTGGGAGCTAAATAAGATCATTTGATTCGTTGCAAAGCAAATGCATACTATGTTAATCTTCTGCGCTTTCACTAACTTCTAACTGGAATGCAAAAATCATCACTCATAATTGTGGAGCCACAATGAAGATCTCAATTTGTCGGTTCAAGATATGAATGATTCAATTTCGTTTCTAGATTTGGGTTTTTGGAAACTAATGTAGACCAGAGAAAAAACAAATAAATTTGTAAATGAAACACTAATAATTTATAAAAATGAAGGATGCAGCTGTTAATTGTGCCATTTGTCTCAACAATTTACTTTGCAATCGTTTCTTATTTTT